AAATAAAAGAAAAAAAATTAATAATGAAATAAATGAGATCAAAAACACTCTGGAGGGAACCATGAGTAGAATAACAGAGACAGAAGATAGGATAAGTGAGTTAGAAGATAAAATGGTGGAAATAAAGCAGAGAGGAAAAAAGAAAAAAGAATCAAAAGAAATGAGGACAACCTCAGGGACCTCTGGGACAATGTGAAACGCCCCAACATTCGAATCATAGGAGTCCCAGAAGAAGAAGACAAAAAGAAAGGCCATGAGAAGATACTCGAGGAGATAATAGCTGAAAACTTCCCTAAAATGGGGAAGGAAATAGCCACCCAAGTCCAAGAAACCCAGAGAGTCCCAAACAGGATAAACCCAAGGCGAAACACCCCAAGACACATAGTAATCAAATTAACAAAGATCAAACACAAAGAACAAATATTAAAAGCAGCAAGGGAGAAACAACAAATAACACACAAAGGGATTCCCATAAGGATAACAGCTGATCTATCAATAGAAACCCTTCAGGCCAGAAGGGAATGGCAGGACATACTTAGAGTAATGAAAGAGAATAACCTACAACCTAGATTACTCTACCCAGCAAGGATCTCATTCAGATATGAAGGAGAACTCAAAAGCTTTACAGACAAGCAAAAGCTGAGAGAATTCAGCACCACCAAACCAGCTCTTCAACAAATATTAAAGGATCTTCTCTAGACAGGAAACACAGAAAGGTGGTATAAACGTGAACCCCAAACAACAAAATAAATGTCAACGGGACCATACCTATCAATAATTACCTTAAATGTAAATGGGTTGAATGCCCCAGCCAAAAGACAAAGGCTGGCTGAATGGATACAAAAGCAAGACCCCTATATATGCTGTCTACAAGAGACCCACCTCAAAGCAAGGGACACATACAGACTAAAAGTGAAGGGCTGAAAAAAATATTCCACGCAAACGGAGACCAAAAGAAAGCAGGAGTCGCAATACTCATATCAGATAAAATAGACTTTCAAATAAAGGCTGTGAAAAGAGACAAAGATGGACACTACATAATGATCAAAGGATCAATCCAAGAAGAAGATATAACAATTATAAATATATATGCACCCAACATAGGAGCACCGCAATATGTAAGGCAAACGCTAACGAGTATGAAAGAGGAAATTAATAGTAACACAATAATAGTAGGAGACTTTAATACCCCACTCACAACTCTAGATAGATCAACTAAACAGAAAATGAACAAGGAAGCACAAACTTTAAAGGACACAATGGACCAGCTAGACCTAATTGACATCTATAGGACGTTTCACCCCAAAACAATCAACTTCACCTTTTTCTCAAGTGCACACGGAACCTTCTCCAGAATAGATCACATCCTGGGCCATAAATCTAGTCTTGGTAAATTCAAAAAGATTGAAATCATTCCAGTCATCTTTTCTGACCACAGTGCAATAAGATTAGATCTCATTTACAGGAAAAAAATTATTAAAAATTCAAACATATGGAGGCTAAACAACACGCTTCTGAATAACCAACAAATCATCGAAGAAATCAAAAAAGAAATCAAAATATGCATAGAAATGGATGAAAATGAAAACACAACAACCCAAAACCTATGGGACACTGTAAAGGCAGTGCTAAGGGGAAGATTCATAGCATTACAGGCCTACCTCAAGAAACAAGAAAAAAGTCAAATAAATAACCTAACTCTACACCTAAAGCAACTAGAGGAGGAAGAAATGAAGAACCCCAGGGTTAGTAGAAGGAAAGAAATCTTAAAAATTAGGGCAGAAATAAATGCAAAAGAAACTAAAGAGATCATAGCAAAAATTAACAAAGCTAAAAGCTGGTTTTTTGAAAAAATAAACAAAATTGACAAACCATTAGCAAGACTCATGAAGAAACAAAGGGAGAAGAACCAAATTAACAAAATTAGAAACGAAAATGGAGAGATCACAACAGACAACACCGAAATACAAAGGATCATAAGAGACTACTACCAGCAGCTCTATGCCAATAAAATGGACAACTTGGAAGAAATGGACAAGTTCTTAGAGAAGTATAACTTCCCAAAACTGAACCAGGAAGAAATAGAAGATCTTAACAAAACCATCACAAGCAAGGAAATCGAAACTGTAATCAGAAATCTTCCAGCAAACAAAAGCCCAGGACCAGATGGCTTCACAGCTGAATTCTACCAAAAATTTAGAGAAGAGCTAACACCTATCTTACTCAAACTCTTCCAGAAAATTGCAGAAGAAGGTAAACTTCCAAACTCATTCTATGAGGCCACCATCACCCTAATTCCAAAACCAGACAAAGATGCCACAAAAAAAGAAAACTACAGGCCAATATCACTGATGAACATAGATGCAAAAATCCTTAACAAAATTCTAGCAAACAGAATCCAACAACATATTAAAAAAATCATACATCATGACCAAGTGGGCTTTATCCCAGGAATGCAAGGATTCTTTAATATCCGCAAATCAATCAATGTAATACACCACATTAACAAATTGAAAGATAAAAACCATATGATTATCTCAATAGATGCAGAAAAAGCCTTTGACAAAATTCAACATCCATTTATGATTAAAACTCTCCAGAAAGCAGGAATAGAAGGAACATACCTCAACATAATAAAAGCTATATATGACAAACCCACAGCAAGCATCACCCTCAATGGTGAAAAATTGAAAGCATTTCCCCTGAAATCAGGAACAAGACAAGGGTGCCCACTCTCACCACTACTATTCAACATAGTTTTGGAAGTTTTGGCCACAGCAATCAGAGCAGAAAAAGAAATAAAAGGAATCCAGATAGGAAAAGAAGAAGTGAAACTCTCGCTGTTTGCAGATGACATGATCCTCTACATAGAAAACCCTAAAGACTCTACCAGAAAATTACTAGAGCTAATCAACGAATACAGTAAAGTTGCAGGATATAAAATTAACACACAAAAATCTCTTGCATTCCTATACACTAACAATGAGAAAATAGAAAGAGAAATTAACGAAACAATACCATTCACCATTGCAACAAAAAGAATAAAATACTTAGGAGTATATCTACCTAAAGAAACAAAAGACCTATACATAGAAAACTATAAAACACTGATGAAAGAAATCAAAGAGGACACAAACAGATGGAGAAATATACCGTGTTCATGGATTGGAAGAATCAATATTGTCAAAATGGCTATACTACCCAAAGCAATCTACAGATTCAATGCAATCCCTATCAAACTACCAACGGTATTTTTCACAGAACTAGAACGAATAATTTCACAATTTGTATGGAAATACAAAAAACCTCGAATAGCCAAAGTAATCCTGAGAAAGAAGAATGGAACTGGAGGAATCAATCTGTCTGACTTCAGACTATACTACAAAGCCACAGTCATCAAGACAGTATGGTACTGGCACAAAGACAGAAATATAGATCAATGGAACAGAATAGAAAGCCCAGAGATAAATCCACGAACCTATGGTCACCTTATCTTTGACAAAGGAGGCAAGGATATACAATGGAAAAAAGACAATCTCTTTAACAAGTGGTGCTGGGAAAACTGCTCAACCACCTGTAAAAGAATGAAACTAGAACACTTTCTAACACCATACACAAAAATAAACTCAAAATGGATTAAAGATCTCAATGTAAGACCAGAAACTATAAAACTCCTAGAGGAGAACATAGGCAAAACACTCTCCGACATAAATCACAGCAGGATCCTCTATGACCCACATCCCAGAATTTTAGAAATAAAAGCAAAAATAAACAAATGGGACCTAATGAAACTTAAAAGCTTTTGCACAACAAAGGAAACTATAAGCAAGGTGAAAAGACAGCCCTCAGATTGGGAGGAAATAATAGCAAACGAAGCAACAGACAAAGGATTAATCTCAAAAATATACAAGCAACTCCTCCAGCTCAACTCCAGAAAAATAAATGACCCAATCAAAAAATGGGCCAAAGAACTGAACAGACATTTCTCCAAGGAAGACATACAGATGGCTAACAAACACATGAAAAGATGCTCAACATCACTCATTATCAGAGAAATGCAAATCAAAACCACAATGAGGTACCATTACGCACCAGTCAGGATGGCTGGTTTCCAAAAGTCTACAAGCAATAAATGCTGGAGAGGGTGTGGAGAAAAGGGAACCCTCTTACACTGTTGGTGGGAATGCAAATTAGTACAGCCACTATGGAAAACAGTGTGGAGATTTCTTAAAAAGCTGGAAATAGAACTGCCATATGACCCAGCAATCCCACTTCTGGGCATACACACCAAGGAAACCAGATCTGAAAGAGACACGTGCACCCCAATGTTCATCACAGCACTGTTTATAATAGCCAGGACATGGAAGCAACCTAGATGCCCATCAGCAGACGAATGGATGAGGAAGCTGTGGTACATATACACCATGGAATATTACTCAGCCATTAAAAAGAATTCATTTGAATCAGTTCTAATGAGATGGATGAAACTGGAGCCCATTATACAGAGCGAAGTAAGCCAGAAAGATAAAGACCATTACAGTATACTAACACATATATATGGAATTTAGAAAGATGGTAACGATAACCCTATATGCAAAACAGAAAAAGAGACTCCGATGTATAGAACAGACTTGTGGACTCTGGGAGAAGGCGAGGGTGGGATGTTTCAAGAAAACAGCATCGAAACACGTGTATTATCTAGGGTGAAACAGATCACCAGCCCAGGTTGGGTGCATGAGACAAGTGCTCGGGCCTGGTGCACTGGGAAGACCCAGAGGGATCGGGTGGAGAGGGAGGTGGGAGGGGGGACCGGGATGGGGAATACATGTAAATCCATGGCTAATTCATTTCAATGTATGACAAAAACCACTGCAATGATGTAAAGTAATTAGCCTCCAACTAATAAAAATAAATGAAAAAAATAAAAAAGAAAAAAAAAAGAAAGGAATAAAAGGTAAAGGGATATTTCAACATACTTGGTATTAAATTCATCTAAGTACCTTTACATCTTGAGCAATGTTCTTCCTCTCAAGAAGAATTTCTGTGAGGGATCGATGTGCTAGGAGACGCTTCATGGTGGTTTGCACAAGGAATTGGACAGCTTTGGACACATGAGCAAGACTGCTTAGGAGAAGAGAGGCATTTTCCATGCGGTAGTAGCAGATGGCATCTATCTCCATCACAAACATGTCTTTGGTTACAATCTGGGCAGAAAAAAAAATGTTGGATGACAGGCCTGATTCTTGGGCTTCTTTCCCACATAAGGGTAGAGGGGTTAAATATGTTCAAAGGATATTTTCTCAGAGAAAGATAATAGTAAGAAAAAAAAAAGGAAGAGTAGTTGGCTCAGTCTTTAATCAAAATAGATATTGAAAAAAATTATGGAGTTTGTATTAAATACACTAAACAACTCAATTTAAAGGAATCCTGTTATAAATCCTTTTGTAAAAAAATCAGGAATAATTTTCTTATATGAAAACATCCAGTTGATTGTATATCAGGTCTTTTTAAACTGATGCCAAAAAAATCTGCTAAAAGAGCAACACATTCTGGGAAACCAGAATACACGTGACGTGTATTGAGTGTATATTTAGAGGGCAGCTTGTGATACATATTAAAAGCCCTAAGAGATGTATGTGTACAACATTTCCTTTTTTAGACAAAAGGATATATTTTAAGGACTTGACTGTAAAGATGTGATTCACAGTATTGCTTATTGTATGAAAGAATTAGAAATAGAGAATTCCCTGGCAGTCCAGTGGTTAGGACTTGGAGCTTTCACTGCTGGAGGTCTGGATTCAATTCCTGGTCTGAGAACTGAGAACCCACATCTGTGTCTCCTGCATTGCAGGTGGATTCTTTACCCGCTGAGTCATCAGGGAAGCCCATGCCATGCAGTGCAGGAGCCAAAAGAGTTTAGAAATAATATCAACAACAGGGAATTAGTTGAGTAAATTCCAGTTACTAAACTCAATTAGTTAAGTAAATAAACTGAGTAAAATCCACGCAATGAAATGCTGTGTGTCTATTTAAAACAGAGGTAGAAACATAGCTAAAATATAAAAAGATGGTAACAGTATATTTTTGAGTGATAAAGGATAGGTGACCAAATAGTATGTATGGTATAATTGATATGTATGATGTATATATGATATATATATGTATATATGATGTATATATATATATATACACACATATATATATATATACACATATATATGTGTATATATATACTTGTCTGAGAGTATAACCACATATATAGAAAAGTTTGAAGGATACATTCCAAAATAACAACTCTATGGCTAACAGGATTAGGTGTATGTTTTATTCCTTTTTTACATTTTATTATCTAAAATAAGCCTTTTAAACATATATCATTTTTATTCACATTTCTGTTTGCCAAAAGAAAGAATGAGAAAGAACCTCAAACTGAAAGTAGGAGACCATTTAGGAAAGGCTTATAAATCTGAATCAGTAACAGGAAAGTCTAGATGTTAACTCAACATTTAACTTTTAATTGTGGTAAAATGAACAGAACATCAAATTCACCATCTTAACCATTTTTACATGCACAATTCAGTAGAATTAAGTACATTCACACTGTTGAACAACAAGCATCCAGGATTCTTTTCATCTTGCAAAACTGAAACCCGCTGAACACATCTCAGTTCTCTCCTCCCCCAGTCCCTACAACCATCCTTCACTTTCTGTTGCTCTGAATTTCACTACTCCAGGTTCCTCATACAGAAGGAATCAGACAGTATTTGTCTTTTTGTGACTGGCTTATTTTACTTAGCATAATTTACCCAAGGTTCATCCATGTTGTAGTATGTGCCAGAATTTCATTCCTTTTTAAGGCTGATTATTATTCCATTGTCAGTATTTGCCACATTTTGTTTATTCAGCCATTGATGGGCACGTGGATTGCTTCCACCTTTATGGCCATTGTGAAAAACTGATGTTATGCACACAGGTATACAAGCAGCTCTTCAATTAGCCTGCTTTCAATTCTTTGGAGTCTATATACCCAAAAGTAGAATTGGTAGATTATATGGTAATTCTATTTTTAATTTTTGAGTAACTGTTTTCTACAGTAACTGCACCATTTTACATTCCCACCAACAGTATACAAGGGTTCCAATTTCTCTACATCTTTGCCCACACATTATTTTGTTTTTTTTCTTAATAATTGCCATCCTAACAGATGTGAGGTGGTATCTCATTGTGTTTTTTATTTGCATTTCTCTAATGATTTTAGTGACACAGAGCATCTTTTCCATGTTCATCGGCTATTTGAATATCTTCTTTGGAGAAATATGTCCATTCAAGTCAAGGTATATACAATATATCATATATGGAGGGCAATCTTCTTTACTCAGTCATTCAATTTAAATACTAATTTTATCTAAAGAATACCATAACAGCAACATCCAGATGTATTTGACCAAATTATTGGGTACCATGCCTTAGTCAGGTTGACACATAAAATTAACTAAGGCCTTTGTCCATTTTACTTGGATTGTTTGCTTACTTGTTGAGTTATAAGGTTTAATATATTTTGGATATTAACCTCTTTTTTTTTTTAAGATTTCTTTTTTTTTTCCATTTATTTTTATTAGTTGGAGGCTAATTACTTTACAACATTGCAGTGGTTTTTGTCATACATTGAAATGAATTAGCCATGGATTACCTCTTACAAGAGAGAATATTTGCAATTTTTCCCCATTCTATAAGTTGTCTTTTCATTATGCTGATTGTGTCCTTTGATGTATAGGAGTTTTAAATTTTGAGGTAAGCTCTTACTCTCTCTCTTTTTTCCGCTTTTGAGCAAGAATAGTCATTTTCTTCTAGGCCAGAATTGGTAGAGTGCTTAACCAGGAAAAATGTAGACAGAAAGCAAAATCCCCTACTTGGCTTACCTCATGAAATGGTATCTCCAAGGTTTGGAGACGAAGGTCAACCTTGTGGTAGGTATCCAGGCAGGGCAAAAAGAAGAAAAGGCCTAGAGGGGGGTGGGGGGCAAGGGAAGTGACAGGTGAATAGCTGGCATGGAGGCTGTTTGGGGTTCACTTTTTTGGTGTCAAGTTGAATGCTGCATCACTTTTCTTAGCCTCCATGGTCTATGCATAGACCATTGGGCCATCACACCTCCACCCTGTGTTGTGTTTGTTGTTGCTAAGGTTACCAAATAATTTGTTGTTCCATATGGGACATGTTTAAGGGTGAAAGGAAAGGACTACACTGGGACAACAGGCATAATAAGGGATTATACTCAGTAAAATGGGCTGTATGGTCGGCTTGATCATGGTGCTAACCTGTCCAGATCTTAGGTTACACATCTGTCTTCTTCACCAGATTTTTTTTTTCTTCTTCACCAGATTTAAACTCTCTTAACAAGAGTGTCTTATGCATTATTGTTAGCATTAGTGCCTAACTAGTGCCTTTTAGGTGCTCTATAAAAAACTAGTTTTTCAATCCATGTGTGTACCAAGGTGACAAACTTTAGAGCCAGCAACCTCTGTGTGGTATTTCTTATAATGGGAGCCCCAGAGGTAATCAGAACAGCAGCATCATGATATCAGCCTCTGGTTGGCTAGCTAGTCCTCACCCACCCAGTATAATGTATAGGGTGTCTGACCATAGGTCCTAACCTACTTCCTACTCCAGCCAGTCTGGCCCTGGAATATTGCTCTCTTTTGGTCGCTAGTGACCTGGTGGTAATGCTCTCTGAAGAATTTCTTAATAACCAGTGTTACAAATAACAGACTGAGAAATGAAGATATCATGAGTCAAGTTACTTCATGTAGTCTGAGGGCCATATTACAAATATACATGAATTGATGAAATTGGCAAGTCTCTTGCGGGAGGTGGGATGTAAAGAAGATTGTTCTCACCAGGGCCTTTGGCTCTTCCAGGAAGCAGATGTCCCAGTCGGAATATAATTACTCTCTCATACTCCTGTACAACCTAAAGGGAAATGTAATTACTTTTGAATAACCCTAAGAGAGAAAAATGAAGTCTTCAAAAGACCTTGGCATGAAAATGATTATAAGTATCAGAAATCTCTTGTTTTGAGAACCAAGAAAAAATTTCTCTTAAAACTTACATTTTCAAAATACATACTTAGTAAATGTAGAATTTCAAGAACCAATGAAAAAGTATATTGGCCATGTTAATTTTTGAGCCTATGGACAGAATTTTGATTAAGGACTCATGATTGTCTAAAAAATAATTGCTTCCACCAAATCAAAGAAATCACAGCATATTTAACCTTGTATTTTTGCTGTGACTGATGCATTAATAGCTTTTACATGAATCCCTTATTAGCTACATACAAACCTTATGGCAGCCATGCAGGTGCTCAGATCACCCTTCAAGAAGAGCCTGCAGCCAACTATATGTTGTCTGTAGGTGACACACTTTCTAGTCAAAAGTACAAATAGGTTGAAAGTAAAAGGATAGAAAAAACTACACCACACAGAATAACCAAAAAATAGCAGGACTGACTACACTGATATCAGACAAAATGGAGTTTAAAACCAACACACCAAAATGTTACTAGTGATAAAGAGGGACATTGTGAAATGGTAAAAGTGACATTGTGAAATGGTAAAAGTGTCAATGCATTAGGAAAGTATAACAACAGTAAACATGTATGTACCTAAAAATGGAACTCCAGCATTCTATCTACCAAAAGAAGATAAAAATAGACAATTCAACAATAATAGTTAGAGACTTTACTATCCCACTTTCAATTGAGGGTAAAAGAACTAGACAGAAGGTCAACAAAGAAAGAAAAGATTTCAACAACACCATAAGTAAACTAGAGCTAACAGAAAAAAAAAGTAAACTAGATCTAACAGATATCTGTGCATAATTCCACTCAACAATAGAAGAGTACATATTCTTTTCATGAAAACATGGAACATCTCCAGGATAAACCATATGCTAGGCCATTTAAAAAAACCTCAATAAATTTAAAAGGATTGAAACCACACAAAGTATATTCTCCTATAACAATGAAATGAGATTAGAAATCAATAACAAAAAGATATTTGGGAAATTAAATCACACACTCTAACCAACAGGCCAAAGAATTTATCACAAAAGGAATTGAAAAACACTTCGAGATGAACAAAAACAAAACCTCATGATACCAAAATGAATGGGATGCAACTAAAGCAATGCTTAGAGGAAAATCTATAGCTGTAAATATCTATAATAAATGAGGAGAAATATCTGAAAACAATACACTAATTTTTTGATGTTAGAAACAGAAGCACAAACTAAACCCAAGGTAAGCAGAAAGAAAAAAGATTATAGTGGAAATAAATGCAATGGAAAATAGAAAAACGTTAGAGAAAATTAATTGAACCCATAGTTGAACCCAAAGAACCATAGCTGGTTCTTTGAAAAGTTCAACAAAATTGACAAATATTTGGCTGGACTGACCAAGAAAAAAAAAAGATTTAAATGCTGAAATCAGGAGCCAAAGAGGAATGACAGAGACATCACTACTATCCTTATAGAAATAAAAAAGATTATAGATGAAAATACTACAAAAAACTACATACCAACAAATTAGATAACAAGTAAAAATAAACAAATTCCTACAGAGTCATAAACTACCAAAACTGATTCAAGAAGGAAAAATAAAAGTGAAAAAGGCCCAGAATTAAAAGATTGAATTAGTAGTTTAAAAATTTCCAACAAAGAAAAGTCCAGGGCCAGATGACCTCACTGGTAAATTCTGCCAAACACTGAAAGAGGAATTATCAGCAGTTCACAAATTCTCCCAAATAGTTGAAGAGGAGGGAAATCTTCCCACATCATTCTCTGAGGCCAGGATTACCCTGATACCAAAACAAGACAGAGACATCACATGAAAGGAAAAGTATAGACCAATATCTCTCATGAATATAAATGCAAAACTCCTCAACAAGACAACAAGCAATCTGACTCCAAAAACATATTAAAAGGTTTATACACCCTAGCCAAATGGGACTTATTCTAGGAATATATAGTTGATTTAACACCCAAAATTCAATGAATATAATATACCACACTAGGAGAATAAAGAGCAAATATGTCATCGTCTCAATGGGTGAAGAAAAGGCATTTGACAAAATCCAACACCCTCTTAGGAAGATGAAGAAGAGGAGGAGGAAGGAGAGCTTGCATGAAATTGGCAACAGCCTCAGCAGCATCTGCAGCATTCCCGCCAAAGACATGCTCTTCCTGGCTGCTCCGGCCAGTGACTAAGAATGGCAGGGATACCAGGGCCTGGCCATTTCTGTCCATTGTGAGACTCATCTACGAGGCAAACTTTGCTCAGGAGATCCCTTTCAGTAGGGCCAAGACTTTCCTGAAGGCGCCCCACAGTCTTGAGGCTCCTTCTGTCCAATCTTTCCTTCCCCTTCTCAGATCACAGGTGTTAGATCTGCATCATTCTCTGAAGGCTTTCCCTTCCCTACTTCTCAATCTTTCATCCCTTGCACTTCTCTTTTCATCTTGGTATGTTCTTCCCGAACAGACACAAGTCTTCATTTACTTCAGGGGCAGTTTCAGACACACGTAACCACATGTGCGTGCGTGCCAAGTCACTTCAGTTGTGTCTCATTGTGATCCTATGGACTGTTGCCTGCCAGGCTCCACTGTCCATGGGATTCTACAGGCAATGATACTGGAGTGGGTGGCCATGCCCTCCTCCAGGGGATCTTCTGGCTCCAGGGATCAAACCTTCACCTCTTCTGTCTCCTGTATTGGCAGGCAGGAGGAGTCTTTACTACTAGCACCACCTATGGGCCCAAGATGTTTGTCATTCGTGACCTCTTAAAGCTGCCTGAGGTTTCCTGATGTGTTAATAACAGGCATCATGTCCTATTCTGGGCTGGTCTTTGTGTTAGTATAGAGTGTAGATCAACTGGATATAGGTCCTGTTTGAAGGGGCTCTCAGTCTAATGGCAGAGATTTAAGTGAGTGAAAGTCGCTCAGTGATGTCCGACTCTTTGGGACTCCATGGCCTATATAGTCCACGGAATTCTCCAGGCCAGAATACTGGAGTGGGTAGCTGTTTCCTTCTCCAAGGGATCTTCCCAACTCAGAGATCAAACCCAGGTCTCCCTCATTGCAGGGGGATTCTTAACCAGCTGAGCCACCAGGGGAATCCAAGAATACTGGTGTGAGGACTGGGTATCCACAAATACTATACTTGTGGTAATTGCTAGAATGGATGTGAAAGTTGGGGGAGATGCGAGCACAAGGAAGGGAATGACAGTCTGGAGGTATCAAGGAAAGTTTCTCCGTTATCTTTGAGCAGGTATAAAAGAGTAAGAGCTCTTCTGCAAGGTGAGTGGAAATGAGTGCATTCCATGCAGAGTAGATAGCAAGTACCAAAACCAGAAATCAGAGTGGACATGGGGTGGCCAGTGAGAGGTGCCAGGAAATTACTTGTTAGGTCCTCATGGAATCTCACCTTTATGCAGAACCAGATAGAAAAAGGGAAGGTCACGATGATGAAGAGCAGGGATATGAGGACAAGAAGCCACTCACAGGCCCCTAAACTGGAAGACTTGGTACCTTGAAAAAAGAAAAAGAATAATTATATTGGAACTTCACCACATTTATTGACTAGCACCTGTAGCTCAGTCCTTGATATTAGGGTCGGATCAGTTTGTAGACTTTGCTGGAAACAGTAGAATGAGCTGGACATCAGTGTGGTCATTTCCCAGAGCCTGTCAGTGTGATGGGTCAGTTTGTAGACTTTGCTGGAAACAGTAGAATGAGCTGGACATCAGTGTGGTCATTTCCCAGAGCCTGTCAGTGTGATGGGCTTTGGGGGCCGATCGAAGGTGGACCAGGCTCCTGGAAAGGCAGCGGTGGGTACCCTGGAACAAGCACAACATCTGGACATGTGGTCTGGGCTCCAGTTCTGGTGCCACCATTTTCTGTTCAAATGGCCTTAAGCAAGGCATACTACCTCTCAGTTTCCTCATCTATTCAAGGAAATGCTATTCATCGTATGACTATTTCATAATAATTGTCTCATGGGATATTTCATATCTGGCATAAGGATGAAATAATGTATACACATAAAAGCACTAAACTATTTTCTTTTCTGTGTGTGTGGTCTTGTTATTTGAAGTGATTCAAAACACATGTGTCCAGTGGCTTATCTTCCCTGAAATTACAACCCCATCTATCACTTGCTCCAATAACTGAAATTTCTCCATGAGAGCCCCTTCTTGTTTTCTTTTTGTTTTTGTTTTTTTGGCTGCACCCCCACAGCATGTGGGATCTTAGATCCCCCTGACCAGGGACAGAACCAGGGCCCCCACAGGAAAAGTTCAAACTCGTAACCACTAGACTACCAGAGAATTCCTGGGAGCCCCTTCTTCAGGTAAAGGTGCGGATCTTTAGACAATCTCTGAAAATCACCTTTGTGGGGTAATATTAGCCCATCTGTGCCTATCAGAATGTGATAAGGAACTGGATTACAGACCATCCAGGTTGCTTGAGTGATAAATGAAATGGTATTTATATCAGGGAAAGTTCATCTCAAGAACACAAGCTTCTTAGGGCCTTGTCTTATTTACACTCTGTCCCAGGACTAGAATGGTGCCTGAAACATACACTCAGTAAATAATTCTTGAAAGTGATTTAAATGCAATAGTTACAGAAATTTCAAGAATTTTAATCTTTAAGTACTAGAATATTGGCCAAAGGGACACTATTTGTCAGTTTAAAAAAATCTCATAGAGAACTAGAATGTGACTAAAGATTACAAATGATAAGAAGTCTATTTTTAAGAGAAGGGATGGAAATGGATAACTAATTAGTGGGCCTGAAAATTTTATTTCCATGCTGGGAAAATAACTGGAAAGGTCATCACCAAACTGATGTGAAGATTAATTGAAGAGGGCAGATAAACAAGATGCACCAGCACAAAACTAACCTCAGTGCTAAATGCCAATCTGTGGTGGTTCCCAAATGGTGTCCCACAGAACACTAGTCCCACAGGGTGCTCCACAGATCAAGAGTTCCCGGAATAAATGAGTTTAGAAAATACTGTTTATGGTGTTCCCCTCCTGCAGCTCCCAATCGTCATGGGCATACTGAAGCTAGGAGAATCCCTTCAGCAAAGAAGCCTTCTAAACTAACCTAGTATTTCCCAAAATTTGACCAGGTGATGTTTTCTCCAAACAAATTCATGTTCCATGGAATTTATTTCTCATGCAACCTGTTTGGGGAGAGATGACTCTATCAGCATCACATTGGTTTTTACAATATTCTTTCCTGAGAGCAATAGTAGTGTTCTTGCCATGTTTAAACATGTTTATAACAATATTTCATTTGCCAGTGATAAGCATGGTAAGTAAAAATAAATAAATGCACATACAGACAAAATTTACATTTTGTAAGTGAAGAAAGTCCTCAAAATTCCTTCATATCATAGTTAGGGATATGAACAGAAAACTAATATCTGTACCCAAATATAACTTATAAGTTCTACTAACAAAGTATTTTTCTCTTAGAATGAGCTCCTTGAACATCCAGTTTGTTAGGTCTAAATGAATAATGAAACATTACATGTTAAAGCCAGAAGAGCCTTTAGATATGCCATAGTGCCGAGAATCCCCAACATTTCAATGAAGTGAAGCTTCTTTTTGTTTCTCCCAATCTTAGGTAGCCTGGTAGAAACGGTAGAAATGTGGTGCTGCATGAGGAGGAGAGGGGGTATGGCTGTTTCTGCTCCCCTTTCCTCTGGGAACCACAGAAAGCTCCCAGTCAAGGACTCAACAAGCCGGTCTCATCCTTAAGATGACTCATCCACTACTTGGGGGGCTGCTAGCTGTAGTCACTTTATAGCTAAAGAGACTGAATGAGGCCCACAGTGTGAAGCTACTAGCCCAAGGCCACCGCTAGATGGTGGCAGTGCTGGAACCATGACCAGAAATCAGGCACAGCACCCGACAAGGATGGGCTTTTCATTCTGGGATTCTGGCTTCTCTAGTTTCCACCTGTAGGTATTGGGCAAGTTACTTAATTTCTCAGCATTTTTTCTTATCTGTGCCATAGGAATGATACTACTCAGTAAAGCACCTAGCTTGTGCCTGGCACAAAGTAGGGGTCCAAAAGTGGGGCTCCCTTCCTTTCCTATCCCACCCATATGATCTGAAGCACAATACTTAACCAGATCTCTAACCTCAGCATTAATGTAGCAGTGAATCCAATAACCCTTTAATAATCAGAAATTTCTGATTCATGAAAAGGCAACAGGTAGGCAAAACAGCATTTACATAGTCAACATAAACCACAGCCCAACTGCTGGAATCTTTCTCAAGTCATAGCTTTCAATGCTATAGCATATAGGGCAGTGCTGCTCACTGGGAAATGTTAAAATTTAGCAGTCAGCAGAATGTAGTATAACACTATTCCTTATTTACCTTCCTTTAAAGTTAAACCTCCTTCATCCTGTAATTAAGGTAATGAGTTTTTTCTTCATTCATCATAAGATGGATTGGAATCAGGGACTTCCCTGGTGGTCCAGTAGTTAAGATTCCACCTTCCACTTCAGGAGGCATGAGGTCAGTCCCTGGTCAGGGAACTAAGGTTCCACATGCCACAAGATGTGGCCAAAAAAAAAAAATAAAGAAAAAAAAGGATTGGAAGCAGATAAAGTTGTTCCTAAGAGTTGTGTCGCCTGCAGAAGCCAGAGATCCTTTTCCCTGTGATTCCCTCCCTTTGGTCTAACTTGGCTCTTTTAGCTTGCAGAGATTCTTGCTCTGAGCATTTATATTATATGTATACTTTCCAGGCTTTGTGTAAGATAAGCACTTTGAGTGTTTATCTTAGCTCATTTTATGTGAGTTCATTTTAATGTTTATGTTAGCTCATTTTAGCCTCACAATTACCCTCTGTGGTGGGTACTGTTGGTGTCCCCATTTGATAGATGGGTAAGGCTCTGCCTATGATCAAATGGTTAGCTGAGACCTGGCTTTTCTTTACTTGGCTCTATGTCTCTACTTTTTAGAGAGAATGATCAGCGCAAGGAAAGTGTAAAATGCTTTTAGGTTAAGTCTGATGAAAAGCCGAGAATAAGCTACAAACTACCCTGAATCATCAACTCGTGCATTTCTTAAACTAAGGGCCCACATACTCTTCCAACCACAGAAGCAGCTGCAAGGTTCCTTTGGCATATTGGTCCCCACCCTGGACCACACTCCCTCCGACCTCCCAACCGTGGCTGACCCCTGAGAACAACGGTATTTAGTGGATGTTATTTGTATTTCTTCTGATGCATTTTGGTCTCCACCACTGGTGGGTCATTGGGTCCTAACTCGCTGTCTTTCATTTCCTGGGAATCTAAGCAGGTCCAGCCGGCTGCTCTGACCTCTGTAGCTCTCAGGGCGGTGACTCGTTGCATACCAACTGACATTTCTTGGGTACCACTTGGAAAGATCGCACCCCCTCCCGGGGCCTCAGCCTGCCCGCTGTACCTTCCTCGGGCCGCTCGCTCTCCAGCAGCGCCACCACTTCGGTGCCCTCTTCGCCAGAGCCCCGGACTTCATCCACGTCCACCACAGTGGCTGCCGGCGCTCGGGGCTCGCCCGGGCTCCCTACCCGCCCGAGGACCGGCTGCTCCCGCTCGGCATCCCGGCGCCCGCGGCCCCGGCCGCCCCTGTCTGTCTTCGCCCTCTTGCTCTCCTTGTGCGAGGAGCCGCTGCCTCTCCTGTGGGCGTCTCTGGAGGAGCTCCTAGCCCTCTTCTCCATCCTCAGAGCGACGCGGCCCGGGAGTGCGGTTCCTGCGGCGTGGCTTGGCAGGGATGCAGGCGCCCCGCTGGGGGAGAATATAATGTCTGTGGCCGGGGGCGGGACCCCAGAGGTGTGCGGGCGGGGCTCTGCTCAAGTGAAACCCGGGCCGCTGTTTCTCAGAGGAGCCGGGATCAGAGCGCGCGCCCTCGAGACTCGGCGCCCCCTTCAGCAGTGAGTTTGTGTGAGAGCCCGTGTGCCAGGTTACAGCGTTTTAAAATGTGTTTCTAGAGACGAACATTTGAGCTGAAATACCACGCAGGCCCGCAAACTGCTGAAGGTGTGATGGCAATTTGCTTTACGATTTGTTAATATTGTATGAATTAGAATATGTGGTCCTCGCGTAAGGCTAGAGAGATGAAGGGGCAGAAAAGGTTGTCCAATTAGGGTAACTTTAAGGTAAAATGAGAAACTTCTCTCCAAGCAGCACCCCCCGCCCCCCCCCCGCCTTCTCCCTTAAGATCTTCTCAAGGTTACCTTTCCTCGCCGAAGATTTCGCAGGTAAAGGTGTTGGCTGACTACTCCTGAGAAGATGCACATTTTAAAAGAGGCGAAGCGGGGGTGTGTGTGGGGGGGGCGGAATTCTCCCAGACCTCTACTTACACACACATGCTTTCTTATTTATATTTCTTTTTTATTAATTTATTATTATTTTACTAATGCTTAAGGCTGCTGATGTTGCTTCTTGAAGAATCAGAAGAGAAGGGATCTGATTTAACTTTTCTTAGGAGAGGACTACTTTTGTTCTTGGCTAAACCCTGTTCCCATGCTTCCTTCATGAAGGCAAGAGTTTTGCTTTTTTAAGACTTACTGGCCATCTCCACTCAGCAGTACACTGGGGTAGCTGCCCCACCTGCATCTGAGGAATTTGAAACATTGAATGGATCTATTTCTTTTTTATTTTCTATTAATAATTTCTCACCGAATAGGAGGTTGGTCTGGATAACCAAACTCAAGATTTATGATTCTACTCAAATAGTTCATTACAGTATGGTAGAGATAACAATCACTTAGTTTTAATTTTCCAATATTTATTGAGTTCACATAGTGATAGCTTTTTTTCTTTCTCAAAAACTTTATTAAAGAATAAGGACTGGGAGACTTCCCTGGTAATTTTGGGTAAGACTCCATGTTTCCAAAGCAGGGACTGCAGTTTCTGAAGTAACTTAAATTGACTGGAAAAACCATTCCACTATTTTCTTCCATATATTCTGAGTTAGGTCACTGGGAATATAATAATTAAAAAATTAGTAATAAAGTCATTCAAATAGATTTTTTTTTTTACTGTCTAAACCTAATTATTGTGTGGACTACATAGGGAGGGTAAATGTTTCTTTTCAAGTGCCTGACTCAGTATTTTTTCCCCGTAACAGTATACTGAAAAAATTTTTGAAGTTGCATTTGGCACAAAGGGGGAAAAATATGATTATTTAGTATTCACTCAAAATTAATAGTTACTATTAAACATAGCTGGTTTATCATCTTTAAAGGTTTTCCTATTTGGAAAAGCATGAAACTGTAGCATTTATTAATTTTTTCTTATCTTTTGATTCTGTTATGGGTTAATTTGACCTAGAGTCCTAGCTGTAGACTCTTAAACTAAAATTGTACCTCAATTTTTGAACCAAGAATTGGCAGTATATCTGGCCAAATTACATTCTCAAAGCTGTACCTTCTCCCCCAATAAGATTTCTTGTAGAGAAAAATTGATGAGAAAAAGCCATACTTGATTGTTGCAGCCCATGATGGGTACTTGTTCTCAGTCTCCTCTGCTGTTATAGAATCTCTACTTCATTTTCTATATCCATTTATAACAGTAACACAAGTATCTGCTTATATCACAAGGCTCTTCGGATTATGAATGACAATGACAATATCTGAGAAAGGGGGTAACATTCCGTGTTTAAAAAAAGTCAACATGCTGAGTGCTGAGGTAGCAGCACAAGTCTCTAGCTGGCTGGCCTCATCTCTTCTTAAAATAATGATGCTGTTTTCTTTTAGATTCCTTTTTAATTGAAAGTGTGTTGATCATCCCTTTGCTGAAAATATTGTATATGCACAGCTTTAAACTCTTAAAACATTAGCCCTTGTTTGGGTTTGTTATGAGGCTGACCTCTGTGGGAACGGAGTTACTAGGAGAGGGAGAGGAGCAATTAAAGTCACTGGCTTTGAGTTTGTTTCTAAGACAAAGGTCATGAAAGATTTCGAGGCTTTCTAAATTAATATACTTATTCTCATTTAGCAGCTTGAAATTTTGTATCTACAATGAAGACTGAATATACATCTTATTTAATGGAAAAGTTGGAATTCATTATCACTAGATAAAATTGCAATTATTATTTTAAATCTGGAAGAAACTACAGGGACTTAAATTTGACTTTCTCAATTTGTAGGTGGCAGAGAAACCAACCAGGAGGGCACAGCAGTGGTCTAGGAAAGCGATGCTGATGAGAGCTGGCTTTGGCTGTGGGGATGGCTTAGATTCAGGGAATTTATTTCTGAGGTAGAGAAATAGCAGAATTTGGTGACTGCATGGAGTTATGAAGGGGGTGGTGGGGGTGAGGGGATAGAAGACTTAAGAGATTTTGACCTTTATAGGTTGAGCAGTTGGTAAATAACTGCAGGCATCTCTGTCAGACCCACTTCCCCTAACTATACTGCTCTCAAGTGTTTCAAGTTCTGGCCTTCTTCGCCTGGAGAGGCAGTTGTCTACCTGTTAGGTGTAGGTAAGGCTGCCTTGACTTTTCTCTCATGAATTCACTTCACATAGTGAGCACTTACTGTATGTTTAGCGCTGCTCACCTCTGAGAATGTAAAGGTAAGACATGTCCTTGAGGAACTTAAGAGAGTCTAACAGGGAGAAACAGATGTGTAAACATATAGGTGTGATAGTGTATGTTACGACAGAAGGATCTACAGCAGGTTTTCTCTGCCTCAGCACTGTGACCTTTTGGACTAGATAATTCTGTTGCAGGGGACTTTACTGTGTAAGATCTTTAGCAGCATCTCTGGCCTCTACCCACCACAAGATGCCAGTAGTTCCAACCCCCAGACATTGTCAAGTGTCCCATGGGGACAAAATTGCTCTTGGTTGAGAACCACAGATATCTATATGTTACCATGAGGACCCAAAGGAGGGGACAAGTAATCGTGAGTGAAGTCAGAGAAAACCTACTTTAAACCATATTAAGAGGTGGGCAGGTGATTCTCAGAGGGCTTCAAGAACTGGGCCTTCCAGCAGATCAAACGACTACATGAAATTCCTAATCAAGGGTTTTTGATAAGCTTTAAATATTTTGTTACCATGGATGAGAAATGTGTTCACACGATTTTTAAAAAAGATTTATTTTATTTATGGCTGGGCTGGATCTTCGTGGCTGCCCACAGGCTTTCTCTAGTTGCAGCGATCCCTGGCTACTTTCCAGTTGCAGTGTGCAGGCTCCTCATTGTAATGGTTTCTCTTCTTTCGGAGTACCTGTGATGGTACAAGTGGATTTCAAATTCAAACTTTTTCCAAACCAGTATTTCAAAATAAAGATAAAACTTCAGGCATGGAATTGGTTGCAAGGGCTAATGCCCGCTGCGCAGGAACCCCACTCGATCCCCCGGCCTTCGCGGGCCTCACTTTATGCTGTGCAGTCTCCTTGCGCACCGGAAGGGAAGTTCATCCGCGCTTCTTCTGGCGCTCCTGGACTTGGAAGAAAACTGGCAGCACCCAGCTTCTTGCAGCAGATTCAGTGAGTGTCTGGCTCTTATCTTGCTCCCTGGAGGCCTGTGAGCATGCCAGCTGACCCCACTTGGTTGCCTTCTGAAAAGTCTGGGTGGAGGTTACTTTTGACCGGAGGGGTCCCCAGCTTCTCCTTTCCCCCCAACCCTCAAGCTACCTTTGCGGGCTGAGAATATCAATCCGATAGACCACACACCAGTCATCTATTTAGGACAATGAATCAGGGCTGGGGGTAGGGTAGGAACTGCAGTTCTCACTTTAGCGGCCATCTGAATCACCTGGGGGCTTCCCTGGTAGATCAGCTGGTAAAGAATCTACTTGTAATACAGGGAAGATCCCCTGGAGGAGGGCATGGCAACCCACTCCAGTATTCTTGCCTGGAGAATCCCCATGGCAGAAGGAGCATAATGGGCTACAATCCATGAGGTCACTAAGCACAGCACAGAATCACTTGGAGGGCTAACTGCCTTGTTGGGCTTTTCCTGGCCCTTCCCCTAGGTTCTAGTTGAGCAAGTCGAGGGTGGGGTCTGATAATTTGTAACAAGTTTCTAAGTTGTTTTGATGCTCTGGAACCACAAGTTGGGAATCCCTATCTTAGCGGTCAAACAAAGTGTTTTCTAAATACTGTTTAAAGCAGCCCCTTCTCAGTCTGGCTTACCCTGGTTTATTTTTCTTAATAGTTATCGTTACTTGACATTTTATATATTTATCTGCTTTTTGTCTGTCCTTAGGTCCAGGAGAAAAGAACTTTGTCTTGCTCTTGTAGTTCTGTATTCTAGAACAGTGCCTGGCACATGGTAAGAACTAGAAAATCTGTATTATTTGAATGAACATGCGTTTTGGAAGGCATGAACCAAAGCTGAAGGTGTGAGAGTGAAAAAGGTCACTCAGGAAGAGGAGGAAGACTGAAAAGGAGAAGCCAAGGACAGACCCTGGTAGATGTGGACATTTAATGGAATAACAGAAATAGGAAATAAGAGCAGAAACCTAGGTGCCAAGCTCAATAAAGCAGCACTATAGACACTCAGAGAGGAGAGATTTTCAGAAAGGGAGGGGACACAGAGGAAAACAGCAGCCATCACTGACCATGGAAATATTGAAAAGTCCTTACGATCTGTCAGATTTGTCATTGGTGGTTTTGATAAAACTAAGATGTCAGAGTAGCAGACCTAGTGCTTCGGATTGAGTAGGGAATGGTGGATGAAAAAGTGGGGAAAAGTGAGCGTGGACTGTTTATTCAAGGATTTGGCCAAGAAGGAATGGCTGGAGGACGTTAGAAAGAAAGTTATTTCTCGCTCTGTCTCTCCCTCTGTGTGTATGTGTCTTTGGGAGTCAGAGCCAAGTCATTTTCTAGTGGTGAGGCAAGAATATGTACAAAAGTTTAACAGGGATGGCAAAGGTTTAGCGTAATTGCTGTGAGGAATAGAATTGAACAGTGACATCAAATGGCCCCAAGTTGGGCATAATGTTAAACTCTGGGAGGTTGGAATGCTGCCCAAGTTCTATCATGAGCTTCTAACTCACCTCCTCCTTCACAGACAGTGTTTTCAAAAGAGTCTCTCATACTTGTTATGGGGTGTATATTAAAGCTTCAGAAGCTTAAAACACACACACACAACAACACAAAACTCATTATTGGCTGTTTTCTAAGGCAGGAATGCTGGTAGGAGCAGCTGCAATGGAAATATACTCCCAGACACAAGCAGGGGAATGGGAGGAGACCAGGTGGAGACAGTTAATTAACAAAGACAAGTACTCCCTGGTCATCATAATAGGCAGGATGGAAAACACATTGGTCTGGTTGTGGTAATTAATTGTAGGGTCCCAGGGATGAAATCAACAAACGACTCACTAAGTCTTTTTAATTTGTGTAATTTCAAAAGCAAACAAACCAACAAAACACAGTTCTAGGTCTGGGGAACAGAGGACTCTGAGAAACATGACTTGTCAGTTCTGTTTCAAGAACTAAATCAGATCCCAGGAGTGTAGCCTAACTATTCTTAAAGAAGGATGCTGCTGAAACACTGTACCTAAGTACTGCAAACCTTTTCTCCAGCCTTTCCCCAAAGGTCTTGGAACCCCTTATGGATAAATGTTCTGGAAAAAAGGAGGAACTCAAACTTCTTAGTAACTGTCACTAATTTGAAAAGGACACAAGTGTCACTGTGTGCTGTCAACATTCTGAGCATGTAGGGGTTAGGTGATAAATGAATTAAATTCTGGGCCAAGTTGACCTTTGGGCAGGGCTAGTAGGACTGTGAATTCATCCTGTGGTTAGTACCCTACTTGCCAAGTGACTAGTTGGAATAGGTAATCTTAGCAACTGACAGAATTCTTACATGGGCACATTCACTCATTGAGTAAGGGCTATTCTGGTAGAAAATGCCAAGTGAAGTGCCAAAATAGTACATCAAAAGCATTACTACATACCTGCAGAGTGTCTCCATCAAAGGCAAGAAGGATGCTAAGGTGATGGTTCTCACCTCATTCCAGGTAGCGACTACATAAGTCTGATAGTTCTCAGAGAATGACAGTGCATTATAAACCCAAGCAAGTCATGATTTCAAGTGTAGCTTAACTCTTCCAAATGGGGTCCCCTTATTGAAGCAACTCAGCCCCTGACACTCAGATTGCAGTTATTGATCTGAGATTTAGCTCCAGAATATCTTGGTAAACCTCTCTTATTTTCACATCATGCACCAATAACTTTCTAGATTCGATCCAGAGTTTTGTTTTTATTGCTTATCACTTTTTTATATCCTTGTTCATTTCTGTCAGTTTCTTCAGTTTAAAGTGGGGATCATAATTGTACTTTTTCAGATTGTTAAAATTTGATAATCTATGTTAAGAGCATGTAGTAAATGCACCATATGTTACTTATTATCATAGATAATGGGGTGAAAATCAGGGATATGGTTTTTCAATTCATTGTCCATTTTGCTGCCAGGTTGTTTAGTGAGATGGTAAGTTTTCAGAATTCTTGTGTGTTTCATTTAAATGCTGATTTGGCTGGGTTAAGGATTTCAGTTTCAGCTTTGAAGACATTGCTCCATTGAGAAATCCAATGGCAATATAATTTCCATTGCTTTCTAGGTAACCTATTTCTATATAAAAGCTCTTCTCTTTCTTCTGGATGTTGTCTAGAATGGAATCTTAAGTTTATTATCCTAAGGACTCAGTGGAACCATTTAATCTGAAAATTTGTGTTTTTCTTCAAATCTGAGACATTTTCTTCTTTCCAAATCTCCAACCCTCACCACCATTCTGTTGTTTGTGTAATACCTGTCATTCAGATGTTGGAGTGGTGTCCAGCTGGATCCATTCTTCGTGTCTCATCACTTTGCTTTTAGTTCATTGGCTATTTAGCCCTATCCGTTTTGCTATAAACCATCCCACAGATCTTTTTTGTATTTTGAGATTACTCAGTATTCTTGGTTCACTGATGAAACATTTTGTTCCTTAGAGCTTTTTTCTTAATGTCGTGGGATTTTAGGTGAAAGTAGATGTGTGCGCTCTGGTTTCTTTGACTCATCCTCAGTTACCTTTTGGTTTTCTTGTTCCTTTAATTAGATTATATATTTTAAGATAAAAGTCTTCATACTCTGCCTTTCTAGTCTACACCTCTTAAACTACCATTTTCTGGTTTTTAAGGCCGTTATACATTTGGCTCATTCCACCTATCCAGTAAAATACACCCCAGCTTATTACCTCAAATACATCCTCCTCAGTTTCCCTACTCTTTTGTCTCCAGTGAAGTTCTCCAATCATTCGGGAAGCCTTCGTTGCCCCACCCATTCCGCTCTGCGGGGAGTTGCATCTATCTAGCCCCGCAGCAGCGCTTCTCCACCAAGCATCAGAATTGCCTGAAATTTCCTCCAATAGACCCAGACCTGCTAGAATCAGAGTATCTGCTGATCAGACCCGAGCATCTTTTTCACTTCTTAAAGAAGCTCCACGGGTGATTGAGAGGCACACCTAGGCTAAGAACCTCGCAGCCTCCTTCTCCTCCGGCCGAGAGGTGTTTGAAGGGGTTCTTTCTGCGCGCTGCCTCACCTCGCGTCTCCCAAGCACGTCGCAAGAAGTAGGCGCCGGCCATCCCAGAAGGCTGCCTGGGAGGGGACCTAGGCCGCCCCAGGACTGGGACCGAACCCAGGCCAGATCCCGGAGCCACCAGTCCTACCTAACCGTCCCACCGGCCGTGAGCCCTCGGGGCCGGAACGCGGCGCCCGGAGCGCACCTCGCGGGCCCTCAGGCCCTAGTGCGCAGGCGCGTAGACCGCCTCCCAGCTGTGGGTCTGTGGCTGCTGGTTCGTGTGCGCCTTTGACGTTGCCAGGTCCGCAACGGCAGTGCCAGGGCCAGCGCCAGCGCCAGCGCCAGCGCCAGGGTGAGGGGCGGCCGGCAGGGTCGGGCCGATGAAGGGTGCTCCGCCTGCCTCCCGCCCGCCTACCTCTTTTCCTCAGGGCCATGGGCAGTCCCCTTGAGAGTCTTTGGTGGGTAGGGTGGGGAGAGGTGAACACCCCGCGCCCTAGCCGAGCGCAGTTGGTAGAGGGCGGGCAACGACAAGGTGGTAGACTTGGAAGACGACGCGGGGAGCCTCTCCGTAGGTTTGGGCTCTGGAGAAAGTCTGCCCACCCGAGCGTGATTCCGCGGACCCCAGCCCTCGCACTGCGGAAGAAGGCGTACTGCGTTTGCCTCCTTCCCGATCCTGGTTCCCGAATAGTGGGCCAGAGAGTATCTGATACGAAGTCTACAGTGTAGAGTGAGATCTGGGACAAGCAGAGTTAAGGCTTCACCCAAAAAAACGAGCCAGGAACTTAAACTTTTCACACGTTAGGTCGCGGCAGGGATTTCTCGAGGCACACTTAGGTTAATCATCACAGTTTGGGATTTAGACTTTGAATTATGTAGGAGCCTTGCCAAACCCAAGTTTCAGAGCACCCTCGTGGTATTATTGTCTCTGCCTTGTTTACCTTTAAAATGCGCATCGGTTGTTTATATTCCACTTTGGGCCATTTTAAACTTTTTATTATTATTTTTCCTCTTGGGTTTGCCTGCTTTTCCTCATGAGCAATGTTTCTGTCTTAAATCTTGTAGGGTGCAATGTCTGAACAAGAGCGTATACAGCAATGCCTGAGGAAGGAAATAAGGTCACTTCTCATTTCCACCAAAGATGGTTTGACCCCACAGCAGTTGGAAAAGGAGTACCTTTTGATGGTTGGCAACCATTTACCGCTCCGAATCCTTGGGTATCGGTCCACCATGGAGCTGGTGTTGGATATGCCTGATGTTGTCAGTGTCTGCCCCAGTGGGGATGGTACTGTAATACTGAAAGGTAGGTTTAAGATTTGGAGGTCTATGAACCTTGTAATAATAATCACTTAGTAAAGAATTGTTCTAGCTCTACAAGTATCCTGCATCCTAGGCAGGGGATTTTACTTTCTTGAGGGAGAAGAGAGATCATAGGCACCTTTGAGGTTGTGGGCGGAGTTAGATCTTTAGCACAGTCAGGAAACCCTCCCCAGAATGCTGTGCTTTCACAAAAACTACGTTTTGCATATGGTTTCATGTTTTAACATATGCCAGGAGAAACTTAACAAGGGGACTTTTTAATTATGGAATCTTGTTCTAAATTTCATGAAGCACAAAAACATCACTGTAAGGAAGTTTATTGTTCATCTCTAGAGTTTCAGATCTTTCAGGAGTTAATTAGCAGCAGTGTTAACAAGTTGGGTTCCACTGTTCTCCATCCTCCAGTAGAGAAGCTAACAAGTTGTATAAAATGCAAGAAATGGAGTAACCAGGGATTCATGTTTATCGTGCCACCTAGATACACAGCTCCCTGGAGAGCAAAAAATTGTATAACCACAGGTGCGAAGAATGAAGAAGGGAGTCAGTTTTCACCTAAATATGATCTTTTTTTTTTCTTCACACCTCCTTAGCCATCCCAGATGAGTCCACCAAAGGAATAGCAAATTTAGTTGCAAAACAGAAGAGCAACCATAAGGTTCGAAACTCAGTGCAGAAGGGAAGGGCCAGTGTTTGCTCTGGTCCCAGCTCTCACCGGCGAGTACCTTACCGAGGAAGGGTGCCCCCTATTCTTCCAGCTGTTGTGAAGAGTGAGTTGAAAGACCTCTTGGCGTTATCTCCTGTTCTCCTTTCTGATTTTGAAAAGGCGTTTGCCAATCGATTTGGACGATCATTCCAGTATGTGCAGTATGGCTTCCTTTCTATGTTTGAAGTGCTGAATGCCGCTTCAGATGTTATTTCTGTGGAGCAGACCAGAGCAGGGTCTTTGTTGACGCTGAAGAAGAGTGTATCAGAGGAAAAGCAGAGAGGATGGCCTGCAGGTAAGCACATTAGTAAAGGTAACTGTATTGCAGATCAGCAGATTTTGGAGCTGTTGTGGTACATATGTGTAGGTATGTATGCATGTAATGACTAAGCTCCAGTAGTTTGTTGAAGTTGAATCGTGGCTCTACCACTTGCTAGCTGTGTGATCTCAGGTGAGTTAAAATGGCTAAGCCCTTAGTCCCCTCATCTCTATAATAGGAATAATAATACTTGGCTGTTGGAGTCATGCTGAGGATTAAATGAGACAAGATCTGTAAAGTGCCTGGCATTTAGTAAGCCCACAGTAAGTGGTAGCTACTATTATGAAAACATAAGATCAGCCCTCTCTGGAGTGCTGTAAATGAACATCAGTTCTGTGTGTTCAGGTAAAGAAGATATAGCATAGAAAATGAAAAGTTTAAAAAATAATACTGATCTGTGGGATTTGCTATCTGATCTTGGCTATCACTGAATCTTTCATACCCTAGCAGGCATTGTACTAATTTATGTAGTGTAGTAATAACCACCTTATCTGTATAACATTTTACCTTGGATTCTCATACTATAGACAGGTTGGGTGAGTAACTGTCTTACAGATCAGAAAGTCAAAACTCAAGAAAGTTGAGGGACTTTTCAAAAATTTCATGGCTAGAAAAGTGGTACAGCTAAAGTTAGGTACTGAACTCATTACTGCTAATTCAGTGCTTTGCCTCCCCAATTACTGTCTCTCTTAAAGGCTCAGAAGACTAATATGGTTATTGATATACTGTCTCTCTAGACCCTTGATAGTATAGAATCCATTCACTGCCTATTTGGGGAACTCTATGCCCATTTCAGTGATTTTTCTTTTTCTCAAAAATCTGTGTTTTTAGATTAATACAGACAAATCATGAGACTATCACACATTTACAAACCAATATTTAAATTGTGATGGGAAGTGTAATTTGACAAGGATATGGTAGGGGGTTTACAGTCAAGGAAGACTATGGGGCCACTGAGTGTTTGAGTCTAAACCTCAACGGCATCATTATTCTTTTTTTTAAAATTTTTTGGCTGTGCCATGCCGCTTGTGGGATCTCTGTTCCATGACCAGGGATGGAACACAGACTACAGCTGTGAGGAGTGCTGAATCCTAACTACTAGGCCACCTGGGAACTCCCTGTGTCAGTATTCTTGAGGTGCTCAAACTTTGGGAGAGTAACTCATGCTATTCAACTTACATGAGGTTGAGTTGTATAAAGCAGTTTGACAATTTATTGAGTTGTAGGGGGTGGACATTACTTCCCAGTGATTGAATTGTTGATTTTCTCCACCCATAGTCTGTTATTCCTCATCAGGTTATCTTGGAAGTAATTTTTTCCTCTTGTCAGCTTGATCTTAGGGTAAAGAAAGAGCTAGGCCTTGCTGGGGTTCAGTTATCTTTCATGTTTTTTAATAAACCTTTCTCCTGTAGTGCTTCCTTACCTATTAACCTTGAAGAAAAGAATCTATACTCTAGAATAATATTCTTTATTCTGTAGCTTTTCATTCTCCACCTCTCCCCCCATACCACTAGATGGTTATCCAGTTTGAAAAGCATAATTCAAGCAGATTATTTATTTGAAGGCTTAATGGTTTCCTAAACAAGATACAGCTTTTTTGATTTTTACCTATTGAGTCCTGGATGTTTGTAATGATTTTCAGGTGTCCTTAAGTAGAGTTTTAGCAACCCCCAATCTTTCAGTAACACATTTATTATCTCTCGTTTTTTCTTCTGTAGATGACTAATCATTTCCATTGTATGTAAATTTTATTGGCTTTACATGAAAATGCAAGCTGACTTTTTAGTTCTAAGGGCCTTACCTCTATATATAGCCACCAGAAGATAAACGAGAAATTGGTAGTGATAATTTTTCTCTCTTTTTATTCACAAAAGGTAAGATTTTCACCCAACCTTTTAGAATGAAGCAACAAGGGTCATGTCCCACAGGCTTCCCAGTAGCAAAGACACGCTCTTCACAACCCACTTCAAACATAGAACCACCGAAGCAAATACTGGGCATGGAAAGGAATTCTAGATCAAATGTAATGCAGACTTCAAGGCTGAATCACAGTGAAAAATTAAACCAGGTAAGATGTCCAAGTTTGGAGCTATAAATACACCAAAACTGTGTTTAAATTCAGTGGTTATTTCTTAACTCTCATAGAAAAATTGCCCTTTTGAAATTCAAGTCATTCATTTATTTCAGATTTAACTTAAGCATTTTCTGTGGTTCTGTGGTTTAGTAAGAAGTGAGACCTGGCAGTGAGAAAAGAGTACAATTTTGTCAACTCCTTGGTTTCTACTGTTTTCTGCAGATGACTCCCAAATCTGTATCTCTAGTTCCAGCTTCTCATCAAAGTTACAGAGTATATTTGCAACTTACCTCATGAGTATCTTCACCTGAATGCCAGCCCTGACACTGCAGTCCTGGTATTTTTATGTGACTGTAATGCTGAAGGACTGAGTAAAAACTATTAAGACTAGAACCAACAAAAACCCGGTTAAGTTTGCAAGATGAACAAGTAGAGCTCAAAATAAGGTCATGGAAATTAAAGACATAAAAGTGCTTTATTTTTACATGTAACTGTCCAGTTTTCCCAACACCATTTGTTGAAGAGACTGTCTTTCCAGCACTGTATAGTCTTGCCTCTTTTGTCATAGATTAATTACCCATAGTTGCATGGGCTTTTTTCTGGGTTTTCTATCCTGTTCCATTGAGCTATATTTCTATTAATATGTTTGTTCCAGTACCATACTGTTTTGATGATTGTAGTTTTGTAGTATAGTCTCAAGTCAGGGACCCTGATTCCTCCAGTTACATTTCTCTTTCTCTAGATTACTTTGGCTATTTGAGGTATTTTGTGTCTCTATACAAATTTTGAGGTTTTTTTGGTTCTAGTTCTGTGAAAAATGCCATTAGTAATTTGATAGGGATTGTATTGAATCTGTAGATAGACTTGGATTTTACGATCATTTTGTCAATGTTGATTCTTGCAGTCCATGAATGTGGTGTATCTTTCCACTTGTTTGTGTCATCTTTTATTTCTTCCATCAGTATCTTATAGTTTTTGGAGTACAGATCTTCTGTCTCCTTAGGTAGGTTTATTCCTAGGTATTTTATTCTTTTTTATGCAGTGGTCAGTGGAATTGTTTCTTGAATTTCTCTTTCTGATCTTTTGTTGTTAGTGTATAGAAATGCAGTAGATTTCTGTGTATTAATTTTGTAACCTACAACTTTACCAAATTCATTGATGAGTTCTAGTAGTTTTCTGGTAGATCTTTAGGATCTTCTATGTATAGTATCATGTCATCTGCAAACAGTGACAGTTTAACTTCTTCTTCCCCAATTTGAATTCCCTTTACTTCGTTTTCTTCTCTGATTGCTGTAACTAGGACTTCCAAAACTATGTTGGCTAAAAGTGGTAAGAGTGGGCATCCTGGTCTTGTTCCTGATCTTAGAGGGAATGCTTTCAGCTTTTTACCATTAAGTATAATGCTAACTGTAGGTTTGTCATATATTGCCTTTATTATGTTGAGGTGTGTTCCCTCTATGCCCACTTTCTGAAAAGTTTCTATCATAAATGGGTGCTGAATTTTTGTCATGTATACGATGGAGTAACACTCAGCCATTAGAAAAAATGAAATAATGCCATTTGCAGCAACATGTATGGATATAGAGAGTGTCATTGAGTAAAGTAAGTCAAAGAAGAAGTATTGTATGACATCCCTTATATGTGGAATCTAAAAAGAAATGATTCAAATGAACTTATTACAAAACAGAAACAGACTAACAGACTGAGCTTATGGTTGCCAGGAGGGAAGAATGGGGTAAAATATACTTAGGGAATTTGGGATGGGCATGTACACACTGCTGTATTTAAAATAGATAGCCAACAAGGTCCTACTGTATAGCATATGAAACTCTATTTTAATGTTATATGGCAGCGTGGATGGAAGGGGAGTATGGGGGACAATGGATACATGTAATGTGTATAACTGAGTCCCTTCACTGTACACCTGAAACTATCACAACATTATTTGTTAATTTGCTATACTCCAATACAAAATAAAAAGTTTTTAAAAAGTCCTTTTTACTATAACTTTAAAAAATTAGTTTTAGTAACTTAATTTACATATAGTACTGCAATGTTGTGAAGTAATTAGCCTCCAACTAATAAAAATTAAAAAAAATTTATATATAGTAAAATCTGTCCATTGAAAATGTACAGCTTGAGTTTTAACATATATATCTAGATGTGTAATTGCCATCAAAGTCAAGAAACAGCATTTCAGTCTTCCCCAAAGAATTCCTTCATGCCACTTTGTAGTTGTCTCTTTCCCCAACTACAGCTACAGACAACCAATACTTACTATAATTTTGACTTTCCAAGAGTTTCATATGAATGGAATTAAATAATGCTTAGTTTTTTGTGTCTAGTTTCTTTAACAGGACACTTTTGAGATTCATCCAATATGTATCAGTAGTTTGTTCCTTTTTCTTGTTGAGTATTGTTTCTCTGTACTGATACACCTCAATTTATTTTCTATTCATCATTAGATAATATTTGGATTGTTTCCTGTTTGGGGTATCATGAATAAAGCTGCTATGAACATTTGCTTATGCTTTGTGTGAACATTGACTTCATTTCTCTTGGGTCAGTACCTAAAAGTTAGATTGTTGGGTCAAACAGTAAGTTTAACTTTTAAGAAATTACCAAACTCTTTCCAAAGTGGCTGTACAGTTTTACTTTGTGAGCTATGTATAAGAGTTCCACTTGCATCTCTGCTGACATTTGGTATTACCAATTTTAAAAACAGTAGCCATTTAAGTGTGTGCATGGTAGTATCTCATTATGGCTTTAACTGAAGTTTCTCTAGTGATGAATAATATTGGGTATATTTGCCCAGTGGCTCAGGGGTAAAGAATCCACCTGCAATGCAGAAGATGCAGAAGACATGGATTTGATCCAAGGGTTGGGAAGATCCCATAGAGGAGGGCAAGGCAACCCGCTCCAGTCTTTTTGCTGGGAAAATCCCATGGATAGAGGGGCCTCACCGACTACAGTCCATGGGGTCGCAAAGAGTTGGACACAATTGAAGTAACTGAGCATGCATGCATGCACATACCATTTGTATATCTTCTTGGAAGTGTCTATTCATATCTTTTGCTCACTCTTAAAAATCAAATTTTCTTAGTATTGAGTTGGAAGACACTGATTTTATAAGAAATATATATTTGGTCTTCATCCCTTTCTGGCACAGATCTCCTAAAACGTTTAAAAATTCCTAAGTAAAGAGAGCAATAAAGGTGGCTTTTGTTATTTTAATGAGGTGACTTTTGGAAAGCACCTAAGAATTGCTAATTCTTAGTTAGGTTCAACCTAACTCCATTAGGTTGCCTGTGGCATCAACTGTGTAATTGGAAGGTTGAAACTCTTCAGTCCCGCTCTAAACCTCCTAGGAGGGTAGAAGAGTTGGAAACTAATTTCATTCATAGCCAATGGTTATTCAGTCATGCTGATGGTAACGATGACTCCATGAAAACCCCAGAGGGTTTGGAAAGCTTCTGGGTTGGTGAACAGATACAGATTTGGGGAGAGTGGCTTGCCAGGAAAAGGCGTGAAAATTCTGCACTCCTTCCCACATGCCTTGCCCTCTATATCTCTTCCATTTGACTTTTCTTGAGTTATATCTTTTTATTTATTTTTTATTCATTAACAAAACTTATATAATTGACATATAACATTATATTAGCTTCATACAATAGGATTAAAACAAGATTAGATATATGTATGCATTGTGAAATGATCACAGTAAGTGTACTAAACATCCATCACCACAGAGTTACAAATTTTTTTTCTTATGGTGAGGACTTTTAAGATTTACTCTCAGCAACTTTTAATTATAGAATGCAGTATTATTAATATACAGTTAATATCTATGTGTGTGTAAGTGTGTATATATTTATATATAAAAGAAATACCATGCTGTACATTACATCCCCAAGACTAGTTAGTTTATAACTGGAAGTTTGTACTTTTTTAGCACCTTTATCTCTTTTGCCCACCCCCTGCATGCTGCCTCTGGCAACCACCCATCTATTCTCTGTTTCTGTGAGTTTGGTTTTCTTTATTGTTGTTTTTGCTGAACAGATTTCACATGTAAGTAAGACCATGCAGTATTTGTCTGACTTGTTTTACTTAGCATAATGCCCTCAAGGTTCATTCATTGTTATTACAAATTGTGGGATTTCCTCCTTGCTTTATAGCTGATACACATATTCCACAACTTCTTTATCCATTGTCTGTCAATGAACACTTAAGTTGTTTGTGTAAATGCTGCAGTCAATATGGGTGTGCAGATATCTTTTTGAGTTGGTATTTTTGTTTCCTTCAGATAAATACCCAGAGGTTGCTGGATGATATGGTGCTTCTTTATACCATTTTGTATGGTATCTGCACCAATTTACATTCCCACCGACAGTGCACAAGGATTAGTTTTTCTCTACATCTTTATCAGCTACTTGTTATTTTTAGTCTTTTTGATACTAGTCATTCTACCAGGTGTTAGGTGATATTTCATTGTGGTTTTGTTTGCATTCCCTGTGTTAGTCTCTCAAGTTGTGTCCAACTCTGCGACCCCATGGACTGTAGCCTGCTAGGCTCCTCTGTCCATGGAATTCTCCAGTTGAGAATACTGGAGTGGGTAGCCATTCCCTTCTCCAAGGGATCTTCCCAACCCAGGTCTCCTGCATTGCAGGCAGATTCTTTACCATCTGAGCCACCGGGGAAGATGATTGTTTGTGTCAAGCAGCCCCTTCTTATTTACCTGTTGGCTGTCTGCATATTTGTGGGGGGAATGTCTATCCAGACCCTCTGCTTATTTTTTTAGTTGAAGTTTTTAGGGTTTTTTTTTGATAGTGAGTTGTGGAAGTTCTTTTATATATTTTGGGCATTAATACCTTATCAAATATAAGATCTGCAAATATTTTCTCTCATTTTTTTGATAGTCTTTTTTTGTGCCATAGGTTTTTAGTTTGATGTAGTCCTCCTTGTTTGTTTTTGCCTTTGCTGCCTTTCCTTTCAGT